TTCGCACTCGGAATCAGCTCTCCTCCACACCAATTTCCAACTCATCTCGCCCGCTGCTTGCTTGCCAGGCGGAGACCGAGGCTGCGACGCGGCTCGAGCTGGAGGACATGATGGTACTCATTGAGAAGCACTTCAAGGAGAGCCAGGCCGCGCGCCGCATGGCCGAGGAGGGCCTCGACGAGGCACGGCGCGCGATGCAGGACTATGCGGACAAGTGGGAGCGCCTGGAGCAGAAGAATCAGCGCCTCGTACAGTGAGCCTCGCCCACCCCGGCATGGGGTGCACTGGCAGCTGGCTGGCCCAGTTGTGCCGGGTGCTCTTTTCTACTTATGTAGCGCAACGCCATACGTGTCCACGTTCCGATCTGTACATATGAAGCAGATCTTTGGCTGTGGGTTGAAAGCCCCAGCCCAAACTTCGGAAACACGACTCTTGTTCATGGGGAAACGGTAGGTCACTCAAATGGTCTTGAGGTAGATTGATAGATCCGTCCTTAGCTTTGTTCCGCATCGTCGTGCGTGCAGCGCCGAGGAGGCCGCGGTCCGCGTGAGTGGCGTGCAGGAGAGCGTGGCGGCCCTGGAGGCGGAGCGCGCGGAGCTGGCGGCGGAGAAGGAGTACGCGGAGAAGCAGCTGGCGGGCCTGGCGGCGGAGAACAAGCGGCTGGCGTCCGCCGTGAACAAGGCCGAGGAGGCCGCCAAGAACGCGGAGCAGCTCGCTCGCCTTAAGGCCGAAGCGGAGCACCATGCCGTGGTCAGCGCTGCGGCATTGCTCAAGCACCGTGCCACACGGCTGCACGCTCTGAGTCGATGTCAGAGCCAGCGCTGGTCTGTAGAAGGACTCGGCTGAACCGCAAGTCCACTTTGCTCCCAGGCCACCTTTGTAGCAGGTCTTCTTTTCGTCGAAGCATGTTTGGTCAACAGGTTTACCGACACCCTTATCCTGAAGAGGGGAAGGTCACAATAGCCGTTGCGATCCGTTGCGAGACCTCGCAGTTTGTGGTCGCGTGGCCGTCTCCTGGGCGGCTCCCTGACGCGCGGCGTGGCGGCGGTGCAGATGCTGAAGATGGGCGCGGAGATCGAGCGGCTGCGCGTGGAGCTGGAGAGCCGCACGCGCACGATGCACGTGGAGATGGAGAAGTGGCGCGGGCAGGCGGAGGCGGCCGCGACGTCCATCCGCGAGGCGAAGAACGAGGTGCTGGACCGCAAGCGCGAGCTGGACATGACCAAGGAGAAGATGGACGCGCTGGTGGAGAAGCTGTACATCGGGCGCGAGATCGACATGGAGCTGCGCGGCGCCATCGACTACTCCCTGCAGCGCAGCCACAACCTGCGCATGACCGACCAGGCCGCCTACCGCACAGCGCCGCCGCCGCAGAGCAGCAACCCCGCGCCCAACGGGGCAGCGCCACCGGGGGGCAGGACGCACGCAGGACCGGCCGGGGCGGGAGGTGAGAAACAAAGAGACCAGCAGGAGAGGCACGGATCAAGCGGACTATTGCTAGCTTTGTAAATGCTCGATAACTTGCGAAAGGGCCGGGAAAGCGGTCGAACCTGGGATGTGAGCCCTAAGTCATTGACCGAGGTCGTGTAAGCTCCCCGGTGTGAACGAGCGTTGCAAGGCATGCCAAAAGGAGGGGAATATTGTCAAGAGGAGCGATTGGAGTCTGCGTGTTTACGACACTTGCGACGCCGTTGCAGGCTCTGCTCATCCGCCCGGGCGGAAGGCGCCCCCCGGCTCGCTCCAAACTGGTGGCGCGGGCACGGTGAAGCTGCCGGCCATTTCGCCCCGGAGCAGCAAGGCGCAGCCGGAGCTGGGGTCGCAGGAGAAGGCCGCGGGCGGGCGGGGCCGGAAGGCGGCCGCCGACGAGGGCGGCGAGGAGGGGTCGCCGGGGGCGGGCAGCGGCGGCGGCGGGTATGCCCGGCTGTACGACAGCAACAGCCCGCACAAGGCGGCCGTGCTCGGGCGGGCGGGTGGGCGGGGAAAGGCCGGCGACGAGGGCAAGCCGGCGGCGAGCGGGTCGCCCAAGAAAGGGGAGAAGGGGGCGGACAGGTTCGCGGAAACCAAGCGGATACAGATGATGGTGTCGCACTCCAATCGATGGCCATGAGGCCGGGGGAGGCAAAGCCCCTCGAAGCGCTGGGCTCAGCTGGAACGACAGACACTACGGCAGCGCCAGACTCAAGTGGTCTGCTGACGGATTCTGAACAGGTGAAACGGCGAAAGGGTACCTCGAGGACGTTGTCGTCGATACGGCCAAACTTGAGCAAGGCCAACTTTGAACAGACACAGTGTGCATCTGACAGTACTCCAGTATCATGTGCCCATACCGCAACTGCGGGAGCGCTCAGCCAGTCCGCCCGGCCCAATTGTACCAAACGAAGCTGATACATTGTCGGCGATCGAAATGCAGTCGGTCATTCCGGCCATGGACACTTTTCAGAAGATTTATATACTGCCAAGCAGGCTGGCTCTGTTAGGGATCAAAGTCAACCCAGTTTTACGTTTGTGCCTCCTCGGGCTAGCTCAGTTGGTTGAGCGTCGTGCTTAACCTAGCACACTAAAAGGGGTTGGACCGAAAGGTCGTGTGTTCGATTCTCGAACCCGGCCATCCGCTGCGGAAGGGGCGAGGATTCCCCTTTCGTTTGTCGGTGTGCTAGTCCCGGTGCTGCAGCTGATCAGCCCGGTGTGCCAGACTGTTCAAACCCAGTTTTACGTTGATAAAAACGCTTTCTAGATGCGGCATATGGTCAGACAGGAGGTGTAATTCCTTATGATTTGAAAGCTGCGGCTGAAACGGCTCCCATTTATATGCAATCAATCGAGTAACTCCGTAGTACTAGCTCCCAGCTACATCAACACCTCACCAGTATTTCACCACATCGCGTACTCTTCAGTCGGAAATGAACTTCATGTAGCTTCTGCGATACAATATGCAAGATCCAAAGCAGAAGACGTATATCTTCACATGCTGAGGTCGCGCAACTTGAATTGCACGTGTTTTCAATCATGTCTCATTGACCGGTGAACTAAGTACAGGATATGCCTGCACGGGTCAAGGATGTATATACGTATTGCGCTTGCATTCACAAACATACGCCCCGTGCCCTCCATATTTCTTAGACCGCGAGTGGCTGACACAACGCGTGTTTGTAAAGGTTTCGGAATTGGGGAAAGGCCATACCTCAATAAATGAGTTTTAGCAAGGTCTTCTGCAGCAAGTTTCAAGATCTATGATCGTTTCAACAAAAGACGTCACTTTCGGCCCTCCGAAACTCTTAAAATGTGTGTGTGGGACTGCACAATCGGGTGGCCAGAAAGTTGGACGCACGACGCAACGCTTGAGACGCAAACTATCTAAACCTACGTCTTGGGTGCCTGCATTGATGGATGCCGGAGCGAACCTTCGGAGTGACCGTAGGAGTACGTCATCCAGAATTCTCGTCAGAAATCCCCATGCAGGAAAACACGCAACGGCATACCCAGGACTAGCAACTTAACCCTTACTTAGAATTACGTACACCAACACGGTTTTTCAAAAAATGCACCTCCGAAATTCTTGTCTACACCACGCCCAGTTCTTCGTCTTGCAAGGCAGCGCGGCGGACCCTCCCCGGGCTTCGTCCGCTCTACTTTTTGGCCTCGAACCGCTTCAGGAGGCTGAGCAGGTCCATGGCCTCCTCCTCCACCTCGCCGCCCTGCACGAGAGTCAGCCCCCCGCGTCAGGCACACCAGGCCCGCCACAAGGACGGCAGCCCGCCAGGCACGGCAGAATCACAGCGAAGCGAGCACAACACTCGGGCAGGAGCACAGCACAAGATCGGGGGAAAGAATAAAAGGAAGTGCGGGGGTGCCAGCACGACGCACAATCGCGGCGTCGGAGCTGAGTTCTATCACTCTTGCGAACAAATTTGGAGGACAATCGCGGCGCGGGACACTTACCTGTCCCTTGAGCTTGCGGGAGGCGGGCCCGGTGAAGAGGCCGGCGGGCGTGGTGGCGGGCTTGGCGCTGAAGATGGACTTGCGCAGGTTGGCGTGCACGCCGAAGTTGCTGTCCACCACCTGCGGCGCCGACGACCCCGTCAGCCGAGAGTAGGCCCCAGTGATCAACAATGCTTTCCTAAATGCTCTTTGACAATTGAAGCAGAATTAGAGCTAGAAGGAAAGGCTCCCAAGCATCTCGAAACCTCCAGGTGTCGCTGCCAAGGCCCACTCTGGCCCCGGCGTGCTTACCTGGGTGACGCCGAAGTCCACCCCGGTGCTGATGAGTGACAGCGCCTCGCGCTCCTGCACACGCACAGCGGCGACATCAGCCTCGGGCGTGAGAGGAACCTCGTCTGAGGTTTGCAACAGCAACGACGCTTCTCTCACAAAACGGGGCCGTGGCCACGAAACAAAGCCCGGCTCAGGTGCGCTGCAGCGGCGCGCTGTGGTGGGTTGGGCGGGCGGCGGGCGGCGCTGACCTGCATGGCGAATCCCTTGACGAGGAAGTCGCGCACGTTCTGGTACGCGTGCGCCAGCGCCGCGTCAACGCTGCGGCCGCCCGCCGTCGCGATCTGGGACGGCACCGGCAGCTCGTCCAGATAGTTGTTTAACTGCGGGGCAAGCAGGAGGGGGGAGGCGGGGTGAGGCAGCAGGCGCACGCGGTAGACGGACTGGTAAGTTACTTAGGGGGCCTCAGAAATCGCAGAAATGGCTGGCGAAACAAGAGTAGAATACGACATCCAAGAAGCACTTGCGCCGAGATCTTTTCAACTGGGGTCCAGTTTGTCACCGGCGTTGGGCTCACCGCAAAGCCCTGAATGTCGATCGCATCGGCGGTCTCCAGGATGGGGAAGCTGCAAAATCAACACACCAGCGTCAGTAACGGAACCAAACAAAGTGCCGGAAAATAGGGCCTTAACTCAAGTCAGCTCAAAGAAGATCGTGCAGTGCCTACTCTTGCGAACGGGTGAAATCAAGGACCAGAAACTGGCAAAAGCTGTGGCACTGGGCGGGCGTGCCGCGCGGGCGCACCTCAAGTTCTGCAGGGCGGCCGGCAGCGTGGCGGCGGGCAGCGTGGTGAGGCGGTACACCGCCGTCAGCGACGTCTCGATGGCCGTCCCCGAGATCTCCGAGTCGCCCTGCGCCGTGTGGCAGTCTGCGGGCACGGCAAGCAAGCGAGGCGTGAGCGACTACGGGAGGACACGACGACGCTGGAGGCAGGACGGATGCAGAGCAAGAAGTGCAACAGCTGAGCGTCGACCTGGCGCAACGGCCACGGACGAGGCGAAGCGGAAGCGCGCACGATGTTACCGGACTGTCTGCAGAGCGTTGAAAATTTCGAAGCAAGGGCGACGTAACCGAAGGACGTGTTGAGGACTTACCACCGAAGAAGAAGTTGGCACCTGCAGAAGAAGAGAAGAAAAGCTTCAGCATGTTGCAGATTGTTTCAACAATAGTAAAGCAGGCTCGAAAGGAACGCAGCAGCTGAAAATCTGCAGTGCCTTTGAATTTGATGCTGGCAGCGCGGTGTGTGCGGCGGCGTGTCTCCTCACCGGGCACCTCCACGCGCACGTACAGCGTGGACCCCGCGCCGACGCGCCAGTTGTCCTGGCACGCAACGGAGTAAGCCAGCGTGAGAGGAACGCCCGATACAACAGGATGCAACAGACATCGGTAGCAGCTTGCACCAGAGACCTTCAGACCGAGGTTTTCAGAAAGGGCAAAAGCGGGTGGTCCAGTTTGTGCTTGTATGCGCCGGCTCGAAGCAGCGCGCTCTAGCTTTGTGTCGCGTCGCTTCTCACCATGTTGCCACCGAAGCGGGATGGCGCGGTGGTAGCCGCGCCCAGCGTGCCTGCACAGCAGCAATGGCGGTGACTTAAAACACCTGCCAGGCCGGAATGATGACCGAGTCGATCGCAGCCAAGACACCCCAGCTCGGTTGCATTTTCTCAACTGCATCTGACGACCTTTGAAGACGCGACTGTGTGCGGGGCAACGTGTACCGGGTAGCCGCCGTACGGCAGCACGTCGGGGTGGGGCAGCTCACCATTGGGCGCGCCGTTGATGTAGTTGGCCGCGTTGGACGGGGTCACGCCTGCACACGGCCACGCGCGCAGCGGTCAGGGAGGCGGACCGGGCAACCTCGAACTTGGCTGCCTCGTTCCGACAATTCTGACCTAAGTGTAAATCTCTGATTTATGGCCGTTCTCATTCCGAGCTGCGGCCCGACCCCGGGCACGACACTTGCCGTGGCCGCAGTGTGCAAGCGGTGACGCGCGCGCTCACCAATGGTGCCGAGGAAGGGTCTGAGAGGGATGCGGTACTGGAAGGAGGCGTTCATGTACTGCAGGTCGGTGCTGCTGTTGAGCGTGGACTGGAAGCCGGGCGGGTACGTCACCGGGTCGAAGCCGGTCGAGTCGGCGCTCGTCTTGATGCCGTAGTTGACCTTGTGCGGCGTGATGGCTGCCACAAGCAGCGGCACAGAGACGGATCAGCAGGAAGACGGGGAGCCGACGGAAGGAGCAGGGCAAGGACAAATCAACCGGTGACAGCTGGCAAATGGCGCATGACGCAGAGCCTGCCGGGAGCCGTCGTGCCAGTGAAGCTCATCCGAGGACGAAGGCCGGCAGCAGGACGGGATGCGAGACAGGCAGCGAAGACAACGGCGGGGAGAACACGAGGGGGGGTAGGGGCGACGGACCTCCTGCCGTGTTAGTGCCGTTGTCGGGGGGGATGATGGCTGCACACGGGGAGACAGGAGCGAGTCAGGATCAGAACGGTACCGAGTCGCTCGAGCAGAGAGTATCGAAAGTGGCATATCGAGAGAAACAAGCAGAGATGGGACCCAGCTGGCCGACAAGGGGGCCGGGTTAGGCGGGGTGCGTGGGCGGGGCCGGCAGCGAAACAGGTGACAGTGACGCGCTGTGGGCAAAGAAGCGGGGGCAGCACTCACGAGCGCTGAAGAAGCCGTAGACAGGGTAGCCCCTGCACGTGAGGTGAACGCAAAATAAGACAAAGTTGCATACTTGGTGGCCGACGACGCGCGGGGGCATTGAGCAGGATGTCGAACTGTAAGTCTGAACTTCGATCCGGTTTAGCCTAGGGCAAGCAGATCCGTACGTGGCCAAGCGCGAGTGTGGCAGCGGCGCAGCGGTGCTTTGCTCACCAGCCGCCGTACTCGTCGTAGTCGACCTCGTAGACGATGGAGCTGCCCGCGGTGGTGGCGTTGGTGCCGTCCGCGTTCTTGGTGTTGAGCGGGATGTACCTGCACGCACGCAGCGCGCCGCGTGACACCCGCGTCAGAACGACGGGCAGGGCAACGAGGACAGCAGGCAGAGGCGCTTCCGCGTTCACGACTGGGGGACAACAGGGCCGCTGGTGACGCGCTCACGAGGTGACGACGGCCGTACACAACGGACTAGTGCACTGCGCAGAAGAGTGGACGCAGGGGGGAGACTCACGGTCCGTTCTGGCCGTTGACGCCGTAGGCCTTGCCGGTGAGCGGGTTCTTGCGGGGGGACAGGCTTAGGATCTCGATCTGCAGCGACGGCAGGAGCGGTCTGTCAGACAAACCCTGGCGCCAAACTTGGATGTGAGTGGTGGCAGGATGCAGGTCGAAAGATGGCATTGGAGAACTTTCATCTGTGACTGGTTGGCCAGCTGCGCCTGTGCGACGTGCTTGGCGGACACGTCCTTGTTGGTTGCCCACGGCTCTCCAATGCTTACCTTGAGGACATCCCCGGGCTGTGCGCCGCACACGGCAGTGGGCCTGCACAGTCAAAGAAGCGGGGGGGGTGAGTCGGCCGGGCGGCAACGAATGCTATACATGGGAACATGGATACCCATAGTCTCCGAGGGCCACAACCGCACGTTCAGAGAGTAAGAGCGGGCCGAAGAGAGAAAGCATCGACAAGGCTTATGGCGCTGCACTGCAAAGATGGGGGCTGAGAGCCTGCGGGACTGACCCCGTGATGATGTGGCCGCCGTTGCCGGGGTAGTTGGGCACGTTCTTGGTCAGGGCCGTCGCGTCTGCAGGGAGCCGTAAGGAGGGGTAAGCCGAGGCGGCAGGGAGTGCGGGCGTCATGCTGGTCGAGAGCAAGCACATCAGTAGCAAAGTGCGCGCCCCTCAGAGTGGTCCGTGCCGGACGCGTGCACGGGACAGCTCTGGATTTCGGTGGGTAGAAGTTGTTGCTTACTAGATGGCCAGTAGTAGATGTCCTGCAAGTAACAGGGAGAGAGGTCAGCAACGTCATGGCACAGTGCAAGCGTGTGCAACTCTACAAAGAAATCTATAGCTGTGGACACAATTTGATAAACAGGCCAAAAGCACCCAGCACACGTGGCCAAGGTATTGATGCCGACGGTCGTCACAGGCAGATACTCTTTCACATATGCATGTCAAGCGAGCCTACTTGGCTAACGATCCAGTGGAGAGGAAGGTAGGGCTCACCTCAAGCGCCACGTCCCCCTTGATCATCTTGGCATAGTCACTATATTCCAAGGCAGGAAACAAGGGTCAGTATCCAAGTCAAATAGACACCTCAAGGAGGTTTGTCTCATTCCTTCCCCTTCCCATCGTCCCGCTTCCCCATTTTTCCCCTTCCCCCCTCAGCCCCCCTTCCCCCTCCCCCTTTTCCTCTTGGCCTTCTCAAGAGGCTACACACAATGGGGCATCAATTTTGCGCATTTAGTCTCCTCTCAACCTCGGAAAGGACCAGTCTCTATTCATGGCTCCACGTTTGCTCTTGTAGTCCAAATTCTGTGACCTTGATTGATTTGAGGACCCAGATATCAGCAAGAGACGTCACAAGGAGCTTGCCTTCTAACACTGAAGCTCAATGAGAGTCCTTTGGCAGGGGGACACCAGAATGTCCAGCAACAGCGTACGTTGATGTTTCAGATCAATGACCGCATCGTGACAGGATAGTGTGATAAATTGAGATCTTTCCCAGCCTTCTGTGGACGAGAACCAGTACTGATCATTCGGACCCAGTAGAGAGACTGACCTGGTCACTGACACACCCACGCACTCCCTGTGGAGACAAACACGTCACGCGTGAGCTAGAGAGAAAAGGCAACCCAGAAGAAACCCTTCATCGCAGCTGGGCTAGTATAGCATCTCCAGAAGTTGAGAAATCTGAGGCCCCCTTTAGCAACACTTTCCGGCTTGTTGTACAGGAGAGCCACCAGTGGTTGCAGGGGGCGGCAGTACAGATGGCCGCGGGCAAACCCGCGGAGCGGCTCAGCTGGTATGGCTCACGCTGTGATGGTGTCGCCGCTCTGGACGTGCGCCACTGCAGCGCCAGCAATACGCGTGAGTGAGCAGGCAGCATTGCCAGATCTGGGGTGCGGGCAAGCCCGGTGGAGCTTCACTGCACTAGAACAGTGGGCAGGACCAAGCAGAGTGCCACCGCACACTGTCAGAGACAAGTGCAGGCAGGGGCGTGTGTGGGGCGCTCACCTGCGGGGAAGGTGGGGTTGAGGATACCGCGGCGCACAGTCTTGCTGCACAGGGGAGACACCACAACTGGTCATGTCACCGGGAAGCATCAGAGGGTCAAGGGAAAACAACAGAGAGGCCAGCAGGGCAAGCTGCGAGCTGGGGAGAGCTGAGGATTTCGGCACAGGAATGCAGGGCTGTGCGGCACGCACTGAGCTCGAGTGTGATCAGGGCAGTTTGCAGGATGGTGTCCTCTTCAATGTAAACTAGCCCTTATTATTGCATCCAAAGAATATCTGAGGGGAGGCGATTCGACCTTTAAAGCTTTCTGAAGGGATATGGTGCCAACCAACTTTCGAGGTGGAGACAGGTGCAAGCTGCCCCCTCCAATACAAGCAGACCAATGCCCATCACGCCAACCACATGGGCCGTCGAGGCGGTGCGGAGTCACCTGTTGGCCTGCAGGTAGGTGGTGGAGGGGTCGGAGCAGGAGCCGCTCGGGTACACCAGCGTGTCCAGCACCGCGGCCGCGGGGGCCAGCACGGCCGCCACCAGCAGCACCAGCAGCGCAGCGCGGGAGCAGCGGGGGGCCATGGCGACAGCGGCAAACAGTGGAGGCGGAGAAGGCCGGGCGAATGCTGTCTCAGTACTGAACAAACTGCCCACCGCAGTGCAGCGCAGGAAGTATAGCTAAATACTTTGAACCGGAGGCCAATTTATATTGAAAGCTGGGCGCCAAGGAAGCACATGGCCAAGTATCTAGGGAGTGCATACCTAGCCACAGCATTTCGTTTGGTCGTAAGTATTAGTAGGTGGGAGGTTCGTAGCTACCGCACATATGATATGTGCCTATATCACCGTGAGTCCTCGCGGATCCGCGAGGCTACCTAGGTGGCGGCAGACAGACATCCTCGCAGTGGCAGCACGACACTGGATGACTCGCAGGACAGCCTGGGCACGGGCTGGGGACGCCGTCACCCGGTACCGTTGCAAAAGGCCTGAGCCAGGCGCCAAAATGCTGACCTCATGCAGAGGTCATCCTTCGACACCGAGTAAGAAACAGTCTCGGAGGCTGGACGCGGTGTCCAGACTCCTCCACGTCCCATGGGACCTTCATGGGACGCCCGGGCCACAGCTGTCGGCCGAGGATACAGACCTACACGAAGTCCTACGTCCTGGTAGCCACCCACGAGATCAGCTCTCTCTCTCTCTCTCTCCACTTGAAGTCTGGTACGGCCCCATTACGGCAATCGACGACATCGCATTATTACACCAACAAGGATTCAACCCTGCCTATCATGGCACGAGAGTCGACAAGATTCTTCACAAAAGGGAAAGAAACTGTTTGCTGCATCCCGGCTGCAAGTATTGAATTGAGATGATTGGCTGTCATAATTATAGCTGTCATTTTGCGGCGAATCGAGACTAATGGTTGTGCACGTGGTGCAGGTGGTGCCACATGGCACCGGATGGACCCCGCGACTGCAGTGCGCACTAAGTGCACTGCACCCTGTGCACTGTGCAGCACCCGGTTTGACGATGCGCCCCGGTGAAGCTGTTTCAATGATCTCAATCAGAACTACAGTTCGTCCGGACTCTCGGGTCGGTAGCATTTCCCGGGCCATACAGCAGGTCGATTTGGCCTCGTGCTCACTACTGATCCAGCCTTGGGGCCGGCCCATGCGGTCATACCTGTGCTGAAAAAATATTGTACAGGTCGGGGCGTTTTTTTGAGCGAAAATGGGGGGTCGGGGTCGCCGGAGGCGGCCCCACGGGGTCCTGCTGGGCGAAGCCCCGGGGCCTGGGGGGCCTGAAGGACCCCCGGAAGCGGCTTGTTAGGGTTCAGCGCGCGTACACGCGCGCTAATATTGGCCGTGCGCGGTCAATCTTGCATGATTTGAGCCAACTTCTTATGCAGTACGTGCGAATCACATTCTAGACTGACGGCACTATCGTGCAGTTGCTCATCGTACCTGCCACTGGCTGCACGCATGTGCAAAACGTGGACAATCAACGTAAATCATGATGCCAATATAAGTACAAATTCATGTGACTGAGTGCATGAATGCCAACCTGATAAACACCCCGACTCATCCTTATTTCTAATCATTTCTTTGATGAGAACTGACAAATCTCTACCTAATGCACGATTTAACCACTTACTGTTATTGGAAGTAACAGTAGCGGCAAATAGCCTGCAACAAATAATAAACGCCTGGCCTCGCTAACACAATTGTTTATTGTATGTACATAATACGAATCATACTTTTGGGCACCTACACTCGCCTATAAGTTTGCCGCAACCAGGCTGTTTTCTACAGTGCTTCTTGACACCCTTGCCGCCTCTATTGTTCTTAGCAGGTCGAGAAGGAAGTGACTGGCCACTGTGAAACTGCGGCGCTGTGTTGATGAGCGGTGGGTGGAAGAGAGGGTGTGCAAAGCTGGCGCCAATGGGCGGCGCTGCAAACGGTGAGTACGCGGTGGGTGCGAACGAAGTTCTGTGAGCAAAGGCGAGCGGGTAGGAATGGATGCCACCAGTAGGAAAAGGGTACATGGTGGTCGACGGTGCAGCGTTTGGATGCTGCAAAGAGACAGAGTTGTGAGCGAGAAGAGCGTTCAGTGAGTCTTTCCGGATGAACTCCTTGACCAAGCCCTTCTCGTACGACTTCAGAAGGGGAATGCTCTTTTGATGGATCGCGCTATCCGCCCCGGAGATTTGGGATACCGTCAGAGCTGCCCTTTGATTCCACTCATGGCACATGTTGACCCAGTTTGTAGAAGACTTGGTAGAGTGCCTAGAATAGAGCTCTGAGAAAAGCCGGATCTCAGCAGGGGTTGAGACCGGGCGGATCAACTCGCGAAGCGCTGGCCGTCTCACGCCACGCTTTTTGATAAATGGAAGCCGCCCATGTCTTTTCACCTCTTGAACTGACTCTGCCCGTTGTTGCGCATTCCACCCGGAACCCCCGCTGACTCCTGACGTGTCTGCACGACAAAGGAAACACATTAGATAACTTCGCGCGAGCGCTTCTTACAGCAACCAGTTTTCGACGCAAAATCTCGACTGTCCCTGTTCGACAGGTTTTGATTCGCTGGATGCGCAAAGAAATTGGATAACCCTCTGCGTTTGCAAGCTGTTCACAACGCACTTGAGATTTATAGATGCCAAGGATGACCAACAAAGGTGTTCGAAGTCCAGAAGAAGAATCTGAAAAACGTCAGATGGAGCAACTTGTAAAAATTGAATTCGTACAGGACTTGAGCTTCTCACTTACCTTGTAAGGAGCCCTGGTGCGGCTCTTGACCAAAGGGCTCAAAAGGTGCACGTTGATCCACCGGGACTGGAAAGAATGGTTTAGATGTCAGCCTAAGATGAACCTTAGCAACTACGCAACCAGGAAGTTGAGACTTGAAACGCTGCATGTCATTTTGAAGTTCACACAGAAGACAAGCAAGGTCTACTCAGGCAAGGAGTGTCAAAGCTGATTCCAACTTCAACTTTGCAATAAACTGAGCAATTGACAATAGAACGAGCACATGACAGAGTGGAAGTTAGCAACCAGAACAAAACGAAAAGGGAGCGAACATCTTAGGGGGAGCTCGCGCCCTGGTTTGAAAGATTCCAGATCGCATAGAGTTATCACCTGATGCGGAGGCAGACAGGTGATGTTCTCCTTGATCGACCCGCTTCCTTTTCGATGCTGCAATTTGCACGATCACAATTTAGATGAAAACTTTGGTACGAGACTCGGCTCGCCCACAGGAACCAGTGCTGGGAACCCAGTGTTTTAGCCGCCTACAAATTGGAAGCATCAGATATCGCATGTGCAACAGAACTTTCAACTATGACCAAGCCCGAACTTCTATGTGCAGCCACTTAGCAACAAGTTCTTACCAAGCTTCTCTCGGCGGAACACTCGAGCTGCAACCCGCTCTTCTCCCGGTTGCAATAAGGCGGGGTGAACTCCAAAGAGTGGGCCAGCTGGGCGGAAAGTATGCACGGAAGGCTGGCCCTCCTGCTGCGACGCGGCATGTTCGCCGAGAGGCTGCTCATTTCGGTGGGGGGCAAAAGAAGGGGCGGGCTGGCCCCCCCCCTGTGGCGCGGTACGTACGCCGTGCCGAGGCTGCTCGTTTGAGGGGGGGGCAAACGAATGGGCGGGCGGTGCCCCCGGCTGCGGCGCTGCGTAGTGGTTGGGAGGCTGCCCGTTTGGGGGGAGGCGAAGGGAGGGGCGGGCTGAACCCCCGGCTGCGGCGCGGCGCTGACGTCGGGAGGCCGCCCGTTCAGGGGGGGGACAAAGGGAGGGGCAGACTGGTCCCCCCGCTGCGACGTCGCGCTGACGTTGGGAGGCTGCCCGTTTATTGGGGGGGGTGAAGGAGGGGCGGGCTGGCCCCCCTGCTGCAGCGCGCCACGGCCGTCAAGAGGCTGTCCGTTCTGGTCCGGGGGAACGAAGAAGGGCTCGGGCGGCGAGGGGCGTGCAGCTGTGGGCTGTCCGTTCTGGCCCGGGGGAATGAGGGAAGGCCCCGGCGGCGAGGGACGCGCGGCTGCTGCTTGTCCACTCTGGCCCGGGGGGGAGGAAGAGGGCAGGCCCCCCGGTTGAGTCGCAGCGGCAGCAACTGGAGGCGATTCTTCAGGCAGCTCCCCTTCATTCGGGGCGGCGCGTTCGACTGCAGGCAGCCCGCCCGGCTGTGCGGCGCGCATGAGCGCAGGCTGTCCGTCCTGGCGGGGGAGAGGGAGAGGCACGGACTGGTCCCCCTGCTGCGCATCGCGCACGAGCGCAGGTTGTCCGTCCTGGGGGGGAGGGGGCGAAGAGAGAACCGAGCCTGCAGGCAAATGATGTCCAGTATTGAAACCTAGTTTGTTGCTTATTAAAAACTCAGTCGTAAGAGAAAATGCAGCTGATCGTACAACAGAATACATGATGAAGCAAGTTCACCAAACTCTTTTGGCTCTGTGAATGATGACACAAGTCGCTAGATTCCTAATGAACTTTCTGAAACGTGATATCAATTTCTGGTAGAGCAGCCTGCTGCCACAAACACTTTGGACAAAGAACGAGTAGAGCGCCTTGTTCAAAGCCCACTGCCTCCCTTCTAAATTGTCACTTCGCTTCAAACATACTCGATGTTTCACCAGGTACCATACCAGCCCTTGAACTAGCAACAACTTCAGTCCGAGGTAAAGCATGACAAAAACGATAAAGAAGAAACTTGAGCGTGCTCTTTTCACTCTTGCACGGCTGGACAGTGAATGGTGCCTCACCTGCAGCCAGCTTGCTCTTGAGTTCTTGCTCGCTCAAGAGACTTTCAACAAAAGCGGCCTCCTCATCCAAGGAGCCTGCTTCATCCTCAGGCTCATCCCCCAGAGATGCCCCTGTCCCCAACACTGTCCCCACCAGCGGTGGAGCTGCATGGACGCCAAAGCGCTCCTGAGTAGATGGAGCGCGCTGCCACTCGGGGCAAGGGTTTGGCCACCCCATCGCCGCGCAGGTATCCTGCATCGCCTCCAGCAGCCAATGGTCGTACATTCCCCAGTCTTTTGCCCCCTTGCTGCGGACGGCGCACTCGTAGTTCCAGCGATAGTTGAAGAGGGCGATGAGAGCCCCCGCCAGCTCGGGAGAATAGTTGCCCCCCCCAAGCAACGCGTTCAGGTGGCGATGGTAGCCCTCTAAGGAGGAGCAGCCTCGCACACCGACGTAGCGGGGCATACAACCGGGGGCGCTCACCAGGATGTACATCTCGTCCACATTGAGTGGATCTGCACGTGACAAGAGAAGTATTACTTATCCAGGCTTCTTCATATATTCAAGTGCAGCTGCACACAAGCAAGACAAGCTACATCTGGCTTGAGACTCTATTCAATATACAAACACCTAGAGCTGCGTTCATTCTACCAAGTATCAATGCAGATCAGTCAAAGAAGCAAATAGCGTGACAGACTATAAGCTTTGAGCCAAAGACAACAGTCTGGACAAGAGCATCTTTTCGTCAGGCAGAGTGTCCAGAGCACTTAAAGACTTACCACTCAGTGCACCCTCTCGCATGAGCTGGAGCTGCAGGTTATGCACACGCTGGACTTCGTCGGTGATGAGAGGGTCACCGTTGATGGCGCATATCGCTCCCTCGTATTTCTTGATGACCGCCTCCACCTCGGCAACAAGCTCCTGCGGGGGAGGGATGGTGTGCCGGCAGCGCGCCCGCCAGTAGCTGCCAGACTTTGCTGCCACTTCGGCTTGTGTCCACTTTCGCCTTCCCGGACCTCCATCCAAGAGAAACTTGCGCAGAGCCCACTTATCTGGCTGGTGGATCTTGAACATCGCGCTCGAGTAGTCCCGGCAAAAGTCGGCTGCACAAATGAAACAAGAAACAAGATCAGTCTTTGGCTCGTCTTTGGCCCGTCATTGCCTGCTGATTTCAACAAGCTTTGTGCAAGCTAACACGAAGTTCAGATCCAATAGCGCACACAGCGTTGCTATCTGCCTTGAAACCAGTAAAGGAATAGCCACAACAGGTCTGACTGCTGCTCTAGATTTGTTGATTGATACTTCAGACAATCTTCTACATCCAACTTCATCAAATATAGCCGTTGGATCCAGACTACAGTAGAAGCCACATCAGAATTACAGTCGAGATCCAAGCCTCCCAAGTACTTGAAGCTAGTAAAGCCTTGGAAAAACAACACAGATCTTCTCACGTTTGAGGGAGTGGGCATCCGGAATGGCCTCAAAAACGCGGCGCATGACGTGTGTGGCGTCTTCCAAAACCCGGCTGAGACTGGGGATGGCGTTGTACAACTGGGCAGCAACCGTCCGAGAGTTGTCAACCCACATGAACTTGGGCAACTGCAAACAGATCAACCACCGCTTGATCAGAGTTAAGAACATCTAAAGAAGTGTCTAAGAAAGACCGGTAAGACCACCTGGGCAATCGCAACAAAGTTGGCAACATCTGGAGAGACCACTAATACCTGCACAGCGACAAAACCTTCAAGCACTTCTACTCATGGATGTAATCAGAAAGAAGCCCACAGATGTATCAGTCTTAACTTGTTGCAATCTTTGAGAACCCAAGCCATTGTTCACAACCTCTTTTATTGAACGAACCTGGAAGCCACGATCATCGTAGCGCTTGAGAACATCCCGCAGGCCGGTAGCATAGTCGTCGAATGAGGTGTCTCCCACAGCCCACTGCCCCACGATCTGCGACCACTCGTTCATGACCGAGTAGATGGCCGCATAGTCTTTGCGCCCATCTGCTGAGCGGATTCGAGAGGCCGCTTGGAAGGTATGATCCCCCCGCCAGAAAACCCCATCCACTGCAGCCAGGTGGCGTTCAAGAAACGCAAGCCGCGAAGTCAGGTCCGCAAGAATGACACCTGCATCAGAGAAAGGCTTGTATGAGGTTGGGCTTACAAATTCAGACCAGTTTTGCATTGCAGAACACCCTCAGATTTGCAGGTCTACTTGCAGAAGCTGATTGAGAAGTGCACATAGAGTGAAACCAGCAGCAAGCCTTGCTTTAGCATGCCACCAAACATGAAGTAGCATATTCTAATCAAGAATCATGCTAAGCAACGAAGTATGTAGCATCTTGCAGGCTAGCGAGGCAAGATAAGAAGTCCTGCACATACCTGCTATCCACGACGTGGAAGGTATCCAACCCCTGTACCCTTCCTTGTCGCCGTACTCTCCGAAATCAGCAGGGGTAGGAGGAGCCTGCTGAACAACTCCTGGAAACAGGAGCGAACCACCCTGCGCTTGACGCCGCCTAGCGCGCGCTGCAGCATACTGGATGTATGTATTCTTGTGCTGCGTAAAAGTGCGCATGTGCGCTTCGCGGACCATCCTTTGCTGGTCAGCAATGGACGCCCCGCTTGCCACATTCCGCACCATGGTGTCCAGCAGACAGCGCTCGATAGCCCCCCCACGAGTGAACACAATCCCAAGCTGCTCGAGGACTGCAGGGGCTTGACGTCGCACCTGCTCCAGCACCCCCTCATCGTGAGAGCGAAACTGGTACGGCTTCCCATCATTGCCTGCACCAACAGAAATGCTGGTTATCTTGAAGTGCCTATGTGTAACACAACGTCAACAACGTCTGGACGTGCTTCAGATTGTATTGGCTCATTGCTCAACACAAACCCATCAATATGCTTTTCATAGAGATCCAGCAGCTGATAAGTGAATGCAGATCACTTCTTGCCATCAAATCTTCAGAGAACCACTGAACTTCTTGCCATCAAATCTTCAGAGACTCCCTGAAGGTGACCACTGATGGTGACCACTGAACTGGGAATGATCTGCATGCCAGGCCAGTGTGTGCATTATGAAAGAGGGCAATAACAGCAAGCTCTGCATTCTGCATGGATACTGGATGTAACCTGGCTAAATCAAGATACACAAGCAAGCAACATACCTGAACAACCCTCCCCCTTCTTCTTGCCCTTCCCGCAGCGGAAGACCTTGCTGTATAGGAATGCAGGCGCGTCCAAGCTGCAAACGCGCCGAATCTTGTCCGTCACTCCAACCCAGCCGTCATGATTCACCCGGTCCACCTTTCCGCATTTGGGGCAGTTGATGGTAGGCACTAGCTCTCCAAAGAAGAACTGCCAGAAGACAAAGTACACCACCTTGCCGGCCAGGTGGAAGTGGTTTGGCTGCAATGCATTTTGCCCCCTGCTTGCTTGTACTGGGTTTGGATACTCTTTCTTCATGCTTGGCCAATACCGAGGATCAGGGGTTTGATCCTTTGATGGGCCCACTCTTGGATCTATGTCAGGGATTATCCAGGGGGGTTTGTTTTTCTTGTCCTTCCAGTCAGCCGGTGTTGCAACCTGATCATGGGCCCACTCTACCACATTCCTTGCGGAAACCTCATCCTCAGTTCTTGGATTATATTGACCAGATGCATTTGCAACAGCTGGTCCAGCTCCAGCCTCGTTTGTGGGCATGCTCGGGGCAGCAGTGGACTCCCCTAGAGCCTGTGGCATTGCAGTGACCCGGGCCAGACGCCATAGCTTGCGGTTGGTACCTGTCAAGACAGCCAGCCAAGCTGGGGCCAAGCTCTCCTTGTTCAA